CACTTAAATTAAAGGTCACAGTGACCTTGAAATAGGTCGCGACACACCTTCTACCTAAGATGCATAAATTGACCAAGTTTGATGATTCTAAGTCTTATAGTTTTCTAGTTATGAGCCGGACAGGATTTTTCCATATTTGGCCATAGCATCTTAATTAAAGGTCAGAGCGACCTACTTTCAATGTGCGACACACCTTCTACCCAAGAAGTATCATCTGACAAAATTTGATAATCCTAGGCCTAATAGTATTAAAGTTATGAGCCGGACACAATAAAAGCTAACAGACGGACGGACGGACATGAACGCCATAACATAATACGTCCCGTCTAAAGACGGGCGTATAAAAATTAAGTTTAGTGAGTTGTGTTGCCAATAATTTTAGTTTTATGAGCGTAAATTGCTTATTGGAATATGAAGATATCTAAGAAGACCAAAAATTACGAACGAGCATTTCTTTTCCTCAGATTCATGATATGGCTATAACATATTGACTCCGGGTTCAATTTTTGGCAGAATATGGTACTTTGAATGAGTATTTCTTAGCCATTAGGAGGAATTCTCACCTCTGACAGTATCTGTATAGAAAATTAATCAATAGTTAGCTATTCATGACGTGACATTTACATATATGAGATGTTTTTGCAACTGAAACTCATGCACAATATTTATTTTATTTATTTTATTATAATTCAAAATATTAAGTTTTACACATTAAAATGCAAATTAGCTGAACGGAAATGGGTCTAAGTTACGCCTGTGCACATGAATGCCGCGTCTCTGAGTAAATTACGGGCACATAGTATCGGGGGATGGGGGGTTCGGGAGGGGGGGCACTTTTTTCCAAACATTACTTTTTACTATTGAAATGTTCATTGAAAGGCTGGTTCGCCCCCAAGCTATTTGTTGCATTATAGTCAAATCAAGGTACATGTAATATGTAATGTAATGTAATGTATGAAGAAAATTTTGTTCGGAAAAAAGTTGAACCCCCTCCCCCCTACGAAATAGGATAAGGAGTTTAATCAATCTCCCCCTTTTTAGTTTGCCAAAGTTTTTTCAGCTAAGCTCTTTTTTTCTGGCTGCCCCTTCCCACCCCCCACCCCTTTCAAAACGATAATAAGTTCCTGATTCAACTTTTGAAAATGACGCAATAAATCTGCAGCACTACGACTTTTACAAGAAAGAATCAATGACTGTATGAAAAAAGAAATGAAAAAGAATCAGTAGAAACTAGTTCTACATATTTGAAAACTTGTCTGTTCGGTTTACATGCCTATGTTTGCATGTACATTTGAAGCATGCCTTGACGGATCAGTAGATCAGCGTCATGCATTAGATGTCTCCAAATTATTCACATTTTGAAAAGTGCCCTCTCTTTTTTCAGTATACTTGAATCAATCTTTTTTTGTTTTACGACAGGAAAATATTTTTTTTTCCTTAGAGATGACGCATCTCGTAGCACCGCTTGCTACACTTAAGTTATACACATCGATTTTCGATATTTACAGTCGATTTGCATTTCTTGCAATCAAGGTACGGTTGAAGAAAGTACCATGGGGTCTGGCTATTGCATTGCCTACGTAAGGACAAAGGCAACGACAGGTTTGTTGTGAATTTTTCCACAATAGAGCGTCTAACCCGTCCCAAGAGAGGGCGTAGAAAGGTTTCCAACCAACGTGACGATGACGTAGATGCGTAACAGCGCCACGTCAAGATCGGGCTATTCATCCTGCCACCTGTATAATCACCATCACATCACCCTAAAACTGCTATTAATACAGCAGACTATCATAATCGTTACATTCACCCCAAAACTGAAGGAAATCGAGTGCGCGATTTTTGTAATGTGAGCTCGTCAACTTTTCGTTGGTGTTCCTCTCACTCCCGCACGCGTGCGTCGTTTGCCTTTTTTTTTTGGGGGGGGGGGGGGCATGTTAACCCTGTCCCAATGCTTCCAGGGTTTGTCAAGATTTTCTCGCAAACAGTCACATTTATCCACTTGAATGGTTTCCGTAAAGACAATCTTTTTCGCATCAAACGTCTTTGGGACTAAAATGTGGACGATAGGATTTTAAAATGTCCAAGCTGGTCTCAATCAACTAAGGGTTGCCTTGTCGGAAGGGTTTAATAATATCCCTATTAGAAGGATGAACTCCTTGCATGAGAGAATCAAGGCTGTGGCAGATGCGCGAGGGAGACGTGAGATAATGAGAATTTTCATTTTTCACTTTTGGGGGTTCCGTAATATGTAAATCATTAGTGTAAATACCTCATGAATTATTGGGGAAAATCAAATAAGATTTTGGTTACATTATTAATTATTAATGATGAATTTTAATGTTAGATAGGAAAACTGGAAAATACGTCCGAAATATATAACCTTATTTCACCTAAACATATTACCATGCGTTTCTTTTTCCTTTTAGTATATACAATGTATTGTATTGTATTGTATTACTCTGTGTGTGATAGAAGATACCTTTCACAGATACAGTGTATCTTGTAAACGTATTTATTTCATATTCTGATATATTATACATGATATATGATATGCATATAAAACAATGTAATCTGAAAAAATGTAAACTAAAGAATAAAATTATCCGGTAAAAGCTATAGCATAACAAGCAATGACATACTGGAACATAACCTGAGTACAAAAAAAATATATACAACCCTACCCAAATGCACCTTTTTTGTATAATCCACGTATTTATACAGATATTACATGTACAGTGTATCAGAAAAGCAGCCGCCAGATAAATTAAGTGGCGATGGCCATTTTATACATTATCCAAGAAGATACTGGCTACCATATGAATGCTTGTTTATGCCTTTGAAATGATATTTTATATTAAAAAAAGAGAGATAGGGGACCTACTCTTCCCTACTTTATGAAGTTACTTTTTACAATATGGAAAAATTTGTTTTCCGACTTATTGCATATGCATGTATTGCCCCGTTCCACTTTTTTTAAGGGCTGTAGTATATGGAAATTAGTATTACATGTATTTAGTAAAACGAAAGGCAAAAAGGACATTTTATTTGATGAATTGAGCTTATTAGACCCCCCCCCCTCCCCTCCTCAACACACACAGCAAGAAAAAATAATTACAATAAGTGAATCAAATACAATTAGACTCAGATGTCAAAACACATCTACGCGCGCCCACTTTAAAAAGATTACATTTTCCGAAGTAGTGCACTGCATGAAAATTTGGCTTTACAAAACAAGTAAAGATAATGTAAATTTATTATTTACAATGCCTTTAATTGGCTTTTCTGAAAAAAGTCAAAGTTGGAAAAGGTAACCTTTACATTAACTTTACATTCACTTAAATATGATGTAATGTCCCACATTGTCTTGACTTTACAAAAAAGTAAAGTTAATATTTACAAACATTAAACACAGTATTTGGGGTACATTAAATCTGATAATTACAAATATTAAATTTAATTAAATAACATCTTTAATAGCCACAAAAGTTAATTACTGTTTTCCATTCTTTTGAATAAAGCTTGTGCATATGATAAATAAGCTTTTCCTTCCAAATTGAAACTGCAAAAGAAGTCTGGACATCATACTTAATATACAAAGTAACAACAGATTGACTTAAACTTTGTTTATTACTATATTAAACATTTTTATACAAACATATAATCAACAACATCAAATTTCTTGACAGTATCTGTTGTTCATAGTCTATCCTGCAAATCCCATACACATAGATAAGTATCCAGGACAGAGTACATTGCACTAAAATCCTTTTCAAACATGTCATTTTGTTTTATAAAGAACCAATTGTTCATCCTTGAATTTAAAGATTTGAATTGACATGAAACTGTGCTCCACTTTTTTGTTACTCGACATGCGTTTCTGTGGAAATCAACAACTGTCCAAATATATATTTTGTCACATATTCCTTTTCAGAGTCCAAAACTTTTATTCTCATGCAGGCAGTCTTCTACTGTTTTCCTTAAAAGAAAAAAAAAAATATATATATATTTTCAGTGACATGAATATTTTCATAGGCATCTGTGTTATAAATTCAAATAAACTGAGATATCAGTATTCACAGTATCATGACTAATGAAAATTGAAACGAGATGCAACCATATTAATACTTGTAGATAAAAATTTTATACATGACCTTTAACCTCAAAAAGAAAATATTTTGAACCATTAATGTCAGCCTTTCTTTTCACCAAAAAGACTATGTTAATCTTATTAAATAAGACAGATACAAACTGATGAACATGTTGCTATTAACTTATTTTATGATATAAATGGACTGGGCCACTAGCCCTTATCTTACCCCTAAGATTAAAATTTAATAACTCTGTAATTTCTTTGTTTATCATTACCTAATTTTTCTTTTGAAAGGATTATTTACAAAATATACTAATGTAGGAGTAAAATAAGATTTCTCGTGACCTTCTGTAGATAAGATACTTTTGCAGAATTGAGAAAATGTTTGTCTTACTTGCAAGATAATTTGTGAAAAAGAACTGGCATCAGTATCTATGAATAATTACTGAACACATATAATTAACTCCATTTTCCTTCTTAGTCATCAGGTAACAAAAAGACCAATAGTTGCTGCTTATAGAGCTATAGTATGATATTCAAGTTATGGTTTAGGATATATGTACCTTTCTCCCAGTAGCATGTTGCTGCTCATGAATTATTTCCTGATCTTGGAATTGTAAAAGTTGACAGGTCCCTCATTTTGAAGATAACATGCTAAAATGGAATTTATACTTTGATAAACATTTCATACATCTGGATAAATATAGCCAATGTTTTCATTAATACTTTTGAGTTTGAAGCATACCAAAGAATGATTTTAAAAATACACAATGCAATCACAGTTAATAGTTATGAATTGCCGAACACCCTTATGTTTGTTTTCTTCACAATTAAAGAATACTTTAGGTCTAAGCAACACTTGCCATCTATAAAATTAAACTCTTGAAGTCTTCTCAAGTGTTTCTTCTTCATGAAAGATATGTCAATAAGGTGTTAACTCTCTCACAGTAAGCTGAGTAGCTGGAGCCTGGAAAAAGTAATAACACATTTTTTGAAAACAGAAATGTATAATTATACTGACTCCCGAAAAAGTCAAGCAATTGATAATTTAAATAATTGTTTAAGTAACATTTTTATGATATTATTTATTGATTTTTTTAAAAACTAATATGTACAAGTACCATCAAAAAACATTGGGATCCCTTGGTCTGGTAAATCATACATTGTTGTCATCCACGACTTTCTTCAAGAACCTGCATAATTGATTTCACTGTACCTGTTTTTGAAAATGGACATGGTTTAGAATACAAAATAATATCTATAAAATATAACCTAATTTGTCCTCTATTAAAAACATTGCCATACCCTGGCTTCTACATTTTTTTCCTAGCACTAATGTAAGCAGCTAAACATTCTGAAATTGTGACCTAGAATTGTTTTCCTTGGTCTTGTTTAATTCATGATCATTTACAGAAAAAAAATGGAACATTATCCCCAATTTATCAAGTTACTTAACTAAAAACACATATTTAGCGTAGTTTTTCCTCACTTTCATCAGTTTCAATGTTTCACAATGTATGCTGAAAACAGATGGAAAACGTAAACAAACCTGCAGTGCATGCCAGCCCGGGAGCTCGAACAGTTTTCCAAGCAATAACCTCCTTAAATCTTCTGGTAGATGAAAAGGTATCAATTCAACTGATCACTGGTTGCATATTTTCGTCGAAAATACCGATGAGACCCGCTCAACTTGATTTGAAATGATTGGCTATTCATTGGAATACACAGTGCCATATTTGGGTTACTGTTAAAAGTAGATCGTTCGTTTTGTATTCGAGAAGACTTGGATGAAGAGGATTACACAAAACTGAGGTGGAAAACATCCGTATATATGATAAAATATATTTCAGTATTTTAAAGTAAAGGTTGTCAAATGAACGGGACATATTACTGATATTACCTCTTATAAACAAAACTAATAAGCGTAGGACTTATTCAGGGCATTTGCAATGTATGGGAACCAGTCTACGAGGCAACAAAAATTCCGCCAAGAATAAACAAAGAGATTGCGAGATGTTGTTTACGTGTGTCACACGACACTGACTGCAAGGTAATGAAAATGTGCTTATTTTTTGTGTATAACTGTTTTCTGTCTTTCAAGATATTGAACAACAGTCGTTTAACATTTAGACGAAACATCTAGGGGAGAGAGGGAAGAAGAGGGGTCACCTCTCAAGTTGTTGCATCTACTATATAGTGGTGGTATTAGTGTCAGGATATAATAAATTAAAATGGAAAAATCATAATAAAAATTTTGTTATAGATTTAGGAAAGCTAAATAAAGGGGCGACTATTTTTTGTTTGATGCGGGGGGGTGGGTTAAAATATATTAACCTCAAAACTGTTTAAAAGATATAATCTCATCTCAACTGAAAAAAATGATTAATAATCTTTCCTTGTCTGATGCCATTATTTCCTTTACCTCACTGAAATTAGAGTTTCTGAGTCAGTTTTTTTTTTTCCTTTTTGTAGTGGCAATGGGGGGGGGGGGGGGGTCAAACTTTGTTCATTTAAGATAAACATGAATAATCTGTCCCTCATTATTAAGGAAATCAAATATTCTGTTCATCACTGACTGGAAAATAATTAATCCGACTTAGCTGTCAAAAAATTACCTTTTCATAATTTATCTTTTGTAGAAACAAAGAGTGAAGAGCTAATGCATGGTGCTAAGTATGGAAAGGTCTCTTGTGGTTTGGTTGTGCCAGAGACAAATGTGCATTATTTCCATGTTGGGTAATGTCCTTAAGAATGGAATTTTTTTTCAAATACAAGGGACATGACTTTTTCATACATTATCACTGTCCAGGGATCAAAATATTTTTAAACATTGTTAGATACTCACTACATTATTTCATCTTCAGAAAAGTATTTAAATTATTTCTCACATTTTTTAAAGAGACCAGTGTGGTGAAGAGATTTTTTTAAATTTTAATCTTGAATTTTGATATTATACAGGTCAGAAGTCTCGGTACACTTTAGGTGAGTGGCAGTTGGGTAGATGGATGACCTTCAGATAGTTTGAGATGAAGTTCTTTTAAATGATTGAAAGTGATCATCATAGAATCAACTCCATTATGAAGATAAATTATGAGAGTCAGGTGAGGAATTGACTTCAATGTGTTATAACATTGTGTAATATAAATTTCTATTATTCTAAACTTCCAAAAATAAAATTAAAGTAGTAAAGCATGCTACAAACATTTATCGTATCTTGGCAAGTTTTCAAGGTTATTGCAGAAGTGCTTTAATTTCAAAAGATAACTAATTAATGCAAACCTGGAAAAGAAATGGATGTTATTCTCTATAATTTCAAAGATTATGTTTACTATTAGGACTCCTTTTGTCCAACACCTGAGAGATCTGAGTACCCAGCCTACTGTTGAATTAATTGGTGACCAAGAAAAGATGACAGAGAGGGGAATCAAATATGGATGCCATCATGATCAAGAATATATACATTGACTAGAAAATATCTGAAAATATATAGATGAACATTCAAGCATTTATAATAATGAAAGTTATTCAGCAAGAGAGTTTTTGCACAAGTTTAATTTTCAGTAAAATTGTGTATATCGTGCACTAAGGAACTTAGTATGTAACTCATTATCATTATCCATTTCTTTAGAGGATGTATTCGGAGTATATTTAAATAATCATTATTTTCTAGAAAAGAGCACACAAAACTTTTCTCTCTGTGCAAAGCATGACACATATGCATACACTCCAGCATTTACCACAACTTTTCCAGGGCGTTTGAAGTCGAGCACATACATGAAAATGTGTTAAGGTGGACACGTGCAAACACACAAGCATCTACCACAACACTAGTTACATATTTTCCAAGGCGTGTGAAGTCGAGCACATATATGAAAATGTGTGAAGCTGGACACATATGCAAACACACAAGCATCTATCACAACCAATTACATATTTTCCAAGGCGTGTGAAGTCGAGCACATACATGAAAATGTGTGAAGCTGGACACATATGCAAACACACAAGCATCTACCACAACACCAGTTACATATTTTCCAAGGCGTGTGAAGTCGAGCACATACATGAAAATGTGTGAAGCTGGACACATGCAAACACACAAGCATCTACCACAACACCAGTTACATATTTTCCAAGGCGTGTGAAGTCGAGCACATACATGAAAATGTGTGAAGCTGGACACATATGCAAACACACAAGCATGTACCAAAACACCAGTTACATATTTTCCAAGGCATGTGAAGTGGAGCACATACATGAAAATATGTGAAGCTGGACACATATGCAAACATACAACATCTTCCACAACACCAGTTACATATTTTCCAAGGCGTGTGAAGTCGAGCACATACATGAAAATGTGTGAAGCTGGACACATATGCAAACACACAAGCATCTACCACAACACCAGTTACATATTTTCCAAGGCATGTGAAGTCAAGCACATACATGAAAATGTGTGAAGCTGGACACATATGCAAACATACAACATCTTCCACAACACCAGATACATATTTTCCAATGCGTGTGATGTGGAGCACACACATGAAAATGTGTGAAGCTGGACACATATGCAAACATACAACATCTTCCACAACACCAGTTACATATTTTCCAAGGCGTGTGAAGTCGAGCACACACATGAAAATGTGTGAAGCTGGACACATATGCAAACACACAAGCATCTATCGCAACCAATTACATATTTTCCAAGGCGTGTGAAGTCGAGCACATACATGAAAATGTGTGAAGCTGGACACATATGCAAACACACAAGCATCTACCACAACACCTGTTACATATTTTCCAAGGCGTGTGAAGTCGAGCACATACATGAAAATGTGTGAAGCTGGACACATATGTAAACATACAACATCTTCCACAACACCAGTTACATATTTTCCAAGGCGTGTGAAGTCGAGCACATACATAAAAATATGTGAAGCTGGACACATATGCAAACACACAAGCATCTACCACAACCAGTTACATATTTTCCAAGGAGTGTGAAGTCGAGCACATACATAATCTCCTACCACAGATGCAATACACGTAACATTTAGTCCAAAGTATGAAGTCAAGCTCAAACAGGCTCACTGCGTGAAGCTGGACACATGCATTTACTTATGCATCTTGCAAAACTACATCTGAACCTATATTCTAATAGATGTTTAAGCAATTTTGTTTATTTTGTGAATATGTAAATTGCACCATTATGCTTACAAGATGTCAACATTATTAACCTGTACAGAAATACTCATTAGATAGCCTTTAATAGTTTAAGTTGGAAATACTAGTACTTTGCCTGATTTATGTTGTGTAGTTTCTCGTCAGTGATCTTGAGTAATAACTGAGTATGGCATTTTTAGTTCCATTTAAACTGCAAAGTTTTAACACATGTACATGCACCATAATGAATAAATAATATTGTATTGTATTTTAACCTTTTTTAATTTTATTCTTTGTCATTTTATTGCCTGTTCAAGTAAAAGATGTAACCTTGTAATGTTTGTAACTGTTTTTGGTAGATATTTATGAAGCAGAAATTATAACAGAAAAGGTTTCAATACATCTACACAAAAAGCAAATAAAAAAGAGTTCTCCATCTATCAGATATCAACAAATCAGATGAGTTAAAGGTTAAGTCATAGGGAATTTTAAAGTTCATTATATCTATATTCTGATATCTGATACCATTTTTACATTTTTGATTGTCCATCTACAGTATACAAAAATAGTATAAATTTTTATATTTTGTAGATGACAATCTCTAATACTAATACAACTGGAAATTGATATAACGCTTGAAAATTTGTGTATTTTTAGTAAGATCGAGTTTAACAAAAACGAGGTGGGGGTAACACAAAAGACACATCAGATACCTATTTATTTTAAAAGTCAAAAACCATTTGTTGAAATCTTAAGTACGAGTGTATTAAACAAAGGCCAGTATTTAAACAAGGATTTAAAAAAGTTTCATATATATATATATATATATATATATATATATATATATATATATATATATATATATATATATATCAACTTTAATGCAGCATTAAAGGTGAAAGGTTAAACTTAATTACCTTTTCTTTTAAGTAAAGGTTACCTTTTCACCTTTACTTTTTGTAAAGTTAATACAAAGATGACCTTGCTTTTTGGAGCACCTTTAATGAGATTTACTTTGCAAGTAAAGTTTTGTAAAGCTATTTTTTCAAGCAGTGGAAGGATGTGGAAGTAGTTACAATTCGTAGTTTAAAAGAGGCACGTGCCACCCCCTTTCTGCTGTTTAATGGTTGATTTCTGAAACTTTGAAAAACAAGGCTAATTCATTACATTTATTATTTGCTCTCTCTCTCTCTCTCTCTCTCTCTCTCTCTCTCTCTCTCACATGTGCACTTTTAAAACAAGACTCTGTATAACCGCATCACCTAGTAACTTGCTGTCTTTGCACGTATGTATACAGGATATGAGTCTAGATTTTTTTCATGCTATAAAAGGTAACTTTTCCCCCTAATGAACACAGCGCACACGTGATATACGTAAAATCACTGACGCACAACAAACGTGTTTCCTAATCCGTCTCAGGCATCATGGCTTATTTTCTTCTATTTGTCCTTTTTGACTCTTGAAGTGGTTACAGAAAATTAGACAAAAGAATTC